GGAGAGCTGGGAGGGGACAGGAAGCAGAATTGCACCTGCAGGTGTGGCCAGGAAAGCTGGATGAAGAATGGCATTTGGGCTGACAGGGGAGGAGGGGAGGGACCCACAAGCACACCTGCAGGAAAAGTGTGCGGAGCAGAGGCACAGGGAGCCGCCTGAGGCAGGGTCCTGGGCTGGGGGTGGAGTGCAGGAGCTGGGGGGGCGGGTAGGCACTGGGAGCCACAGGCTGTGATGGGAGCTGGGCTTCTGCACCGAGAACGGCCTGCAGGGGGCAGGATGGAGGCAAGGCAACCCGCTGGAGACGCCTGTGATGTCCAGGGGACAGACAGAGGTGGGCTCCAGGCCAGGACCCAGCCTGGGCTGGTGGGAGTGGTCAGTCTGCATGAAAGCCAAGGAGACACACACACACACACACACACACGTGCTATAAAAGTAAGTACAACACCCTAACCGGTCCCCTTCCGAGGAAGGCAGGGAGGGAGTTAATGATCCTGGTACTGAGCCTGCCTTTCCCGCATGAACTCCATCACGGGGAAACCAAGCAGGAGTGTGGAGGCAACTTCTAAAACCGCTCCAGCCGCCCTGGCCGGTCGCTCAGTGGTTACAGCGTCGGCCCTCGAACTAAAGGGTCGTGGTTAGATCATCTGGCCTCTGGATCCGGCTGCTACCTGCAGGGCACACGGACCACCAGCTCCGACTCAGGACACACTAGGACAGTGGTTCTCAACCTTCCTAAGGCCGCGACCCTTTACAGTTCCTCATGTTGTGGTGACCCCCAACCATAACATTATTTTCATTGCTACTTCATAACTGTAATGTTGCTACTGTTATGAATCGTCATGTAAATATCTGATATGCAGGATGTATTGTCATTGTTACAAATTGAACATCATTAAAGCATAGTGATTAATCACAAAAACAATATGTAACTATATATGTGTTTTCCGATGGTCTTAGGCGACCCCTGTGAAAGGGTCGTTCAACCCCCAAAGGGGTCGCGACCCACAGGTTGAGAACCGCTGCACTAGGCCATCGGCTGGGCTTCACCGGCCTGTACAGAGAGCAGGAGGGGCTGTAAGTCAGACAAGAGAGACCACGTTTAGGAAAAGGAGCCGAGTCGAGTGCGCACAGACTCAGGAGCAGTCATTTCGGTGAAGCCAGGGTTCGTTCCACAGGGAGGGAGGCAGGGACGCCTGGGAGCCCGGGGGGGGGGGGGGAATCTGCCAAAGTTCCTATCCTTGACCCGGTTGGGGGTACAGGGGTACCCACCGTAGAATTCAGTGAGTTATATGTTTGTTTTGTGTCATTTTCTGTATGTTTCTATGGTAAAAGGATAATTAGAAAAGACAGAAATAAATGATTATGTCAAATTATTTTTTGAAACTTGCATAGTGCTTTTATCAAGAAGTGCCAAAGAAAATTTTAAAGATTTGCACATCTTGGTCTTTAAAAGCTGTAACTGTTCCACCCTGGCCCATGTGGCTCGGGGTCAGAGCGTCACCCCATACACCGTATGGGAGGCAACCAAGTGATGTTTCTCTCTCTCCCTCACCCTCCCTCTCTCTAAAATCAATAAAAACACATTAAAAACATTTTTTTTAAGTTGTAACTATTCCTACGTAACGGTGAGTTGCCAGGGCTACATATGTGGTCTGCCCAGTGCCCAGGTGCCAGCCAGGTCCGACCCAGCCCTCCGCAGGCGCTGGCCAGGATGAAAAGGACCCACATGTGCCCCCATCTGACCTCCGGCGGGTGCCCGACTGGTGGGGCTTGTCATGTCGGTACAAGTTTGCTTTTCATCAGAGTGAGATTTGCTTTCTGAAAAGCGATCTTACAGCTCAGATTTCAGTGTCTTACTTACACATCCTTGTGGGGTTTTGTTACTAAGAAGATTTCGTCCTCACACGTTTCGGTTGCTGGGGTTCGTGTTTCTGCTTCCCGCCCAGCACAGGTGTTAAACGCAGAGAAAACCCTGGGACTGCTCAGCAGCCAGAACCAGTTTGGTCTCAAATAAAGCTGAAGGCCCGCTTCTTGTTTATGCCTCTGGGAATCCTGAGCAAAACTTCAGCTGTTTTCGAAGACTGATATGCCCTCCCCACCCCCACCCCCAGATCTCTCTCCCTCTCCCTTGGCTGGGCCCACAACCCTGGGCATGTGCCCTGACCGGGGAGCAAACCAGGGACCTTTGGCTGCATAGGACGGTGCTCACCCACTGAGCCGCACCGGCCAGGGCGTTATTTCTCCCTTCAAAATGCCGCAGCTTTTCATAAGAATGACTGTTGGAATTTTCCAAACAGATACAAAAGGGACGGCTTCAGGGACGCTCAGCCATCTCCGCACAGCGTCACCGTGCCAGTCTCCTGCGGTCTGTGTGCCCACAGGGAGCTGGCCAGCGGCGCAGGGCGGGAGGGGCGGGACTGCCCCGGGTGGTCGCCCGCGGCCCTCACTGCTGACCCTGCGTCCCGACAGCCGGGCCTGTGCTTCACAGCGAACCCTCCCGTCAGAGCACAGGCCCAGGTTTCGGGCTCCATCCCCGGCAGGGGCTGTGCAGGAGGCCACCAGCGATGGCTCTTTCTACTCGCTGTCTCTCTCTCGCTCCCTCTCCCTTCCTCCCAGGGGACACTGCAGGGTGTGCACCCGCCGCGGGTCCCACACCACAGGCCCTGCACAGGCGCCAGGCGCTGACCCGGAGGTGACAGAGTTCACCCTGCCCTCACCGTCATTATTAACCCGGCACTTTCGTGGCAGGCGACAGGAATCCGAGCTGCTTAAGCAAACAAAGACCTGTTAGCTCTTTTGAAATGCTCCCAAGGCCCTGGCCGGGAGCTCCGTGGGTCAGTCATCCCCTTCGGCCAAGGTTGCGGGCTGGATCTCGGTCAGGGCACACGCAGAGGAGGCAATGAATGCAGAAAGAAGCGGAACAACACACTGACCTGTCTCTCTCCCTTCCTCTCGACAATCAGCGAATACAAATTCTGGAAAGCCAGCCCCACGGGAGAGTCCAGGCGGCCCAGCCAGAGCTCCGTCCACCCGCTGGGTCGCTGGGAGCGAGGTCCTCGGTGGCCACTGGGGAGGCACTGAGCCTGACCGGCTGGGGGAGAAGGCACAGTGCGAGGGGGACACAGCAGATGCTCCCCACAAACACCGCACGGCCGGGGGGCCCTATGCGCTGAGTGTCCCTAACGAATAGAACAGAAGACCCACCACTCTGCTCCCAGCTCAGCCTGCAGGTCCCCACCTCTGGCCGCACTGAGTGGTCCCTGGATGCCACACGGAGGCACCTGGATAAAAAGTGATGTTTCAGGAGCATTTTATTTTTACATTTTTTCCCTTCGGCTCGTTGGGGACCCCTGCCCAGCTCCTCTTCTGGCTCATCTCCCAGGTGACACATATTGGGGTGTCCCAGGGCCCCCTCCGTGTTCTGTGCTTTGTCCACATACCCTCGGTGACCTTACAGCCCAGGTAGGCTGATGGCCCACACCTGTGCCTCCAGCTGGACGTCCTCCCGAACCCGACCTGAGCTCCCATTGGCCTCACACCTACCACGCGCCTCAGCAGCAGCACCCACCGCAGCAGCGCTCACCACCTGGTGGCTGAACCGGAGGCCGGGCGTCCTGTTTTCTCTCCCCTCCAGCCTCCACCCTCCACATCCAATCCACTCTCTCAGGTGGTCCCGTCTCTTTGACCTTCAGAACGCTCATCTTTTTGTGTTTTTTTGTTTCTTTTGTTTTGTTCTATTTAAAAAATATATTTTTTTTATTGATTTCAGAGAGTAAGGGAAAGAGATAGAAACATCAATGATGGCCCGGCCAGCATGGCTCAGGGGCTGAGCGTTGACCTATGAACCAGGAGGTCAGGGTTTGATTCCTGGTCAGGGCACAGGCCCGGGTTGTGGGCTCGATCTCTAGTGTGGGGCGTGCAAGAGGCAGCCCACGATGACTCTCTCTCATCAATGTTTCTCTCTCTCTTGTTCTATTTAAAAAATATATATTTTTTATTGATTTCAGAGACTAAGGGAAAGAGATAGAAACATCAATGATGGCCTGGCCAGCATGGCTCAGGGGCTGAGCGTTGACCTATGAACCAGGAGGTCAGGGTTTGATTCCTGGTCAGGGCACAGGCCCGGGTTGTGGGCT